ATCCTATCAGCATGTTTCTGCTGTTCTAGGTAGGTGGGGTAAAAAGTGCTGCTGGTTTTTGTAAGTTTGGGGGTTGGGTGTAGAACTCATTAGCAAGTCAACATCTGAACTGAAAAGCCCAGGTCAAAAGGACTCATGGTTTTCAAAGTGCAATGATAAGGTGTTATCGGAGAACGCCTACCATTGCACATTATGTAAATTCTGCTCAAAACTGGAAGCACTTGATCAGAGCATACTACATGTAGCCACTGATATCTGAACTGTATACCGGTATACATGCCATCGGACGTACGATAAAGCACACTGCAATGCCGGTATGTGAACAAGGTCTAAGATCTAGCAGGCATGTTATTGGCATATAATGGTAGCAGCACAATCCTCCTGTTAGTTGCCCGCTGTCATTTGTAGAGATTTTGCTATCCATGCACTGGGAACTCTCTAGCCCTAGTTATTTTCACTAGTCTGCTTTTATGTTGTTGATTTCCCAGAAGATGGTGGTAGTAGTCCATGGTAATCGTGCACCATTATAATATACCACACTCTTAAAGGAAAACAGCCTTGATTAGAGTGGACCGTTAAGCATTCGCTAGCTTTTACTCTTTTGAAAAGTAGCAAGTGGTACATCCACAGTCGGGATTGTAGGACACAAAAAAGCCAAAGAAAAAGTTTGTAAGAAGTTCTCTACCACCTTTTGTAAAACCTAGATTTCAGTTTTAAATACAAGTTTCATCTTTTGAGGGCATCGAACATTGAGTGTGTGTGCGGGCCCGGAATGATTACCCTTTTTGACATTCAGTTTAGAGCAGCTACACATCTGCCATAATCCCTCATTCAGACTTACTATTGCTATAAATAACATTTAATGCTGGTGGGCCTAGGAATAGATATTCATGCAACTTTGATTAATATACGCTGCAGTCCTAATTTGTGAACCAATAACACAAAAACAAACAAAATACCATGTGGACTGAGCATAAATTAAGTTCATTAAATTTGACAATACATGAGTAATAAGGCTTCACATATACAAAGTGAGTAATTGTAACATTCAGTCCCAATACGGAAAAATAAAGTGCCCAAGTGTTGAATACTAATTGGTGAACTTCGTGCAAAAAATTACAGGTGTTCCTCTGTGCTCAATCGGTGCCCCACATGGATGTGCACTCACCGTTGGCCGTGGATCACCTATCTCTAGGTTAGTCTTAAGCGCCTGGTTTGGAAGTAGCCCAATGCGTGATGGCAAGAATGACACCAATATTCGTTCCTGTGGGAACCAAGTGATTTGGATGATCGTAACCAATAGGATGATAACAGCGTATCCCTAGAGATGATCCCTTATGCTGACGAAATGCGTCAAGGAAAGTGACGTCAGACGCACACGGGAACCGGAAGTGGAATAGCAGCCATTTTGGAAAGTGGCAAGAATCACACCAAACGTGTGGATGTCCTCTGGACGGCAGAGAGGTTTGGATTGTGGATTTTTATGGCAATTTTAAAGGCTGTCATAATGTGAGCTTAATAATAAAGTATATTTTATGGTGTTTTGGCAATTTTACACTATTTACTCTTCATATATTGGCATTTCGGTGAAACATGCTTTGAGGAGGAATATGGCATGTTTATGCTGATTTAACCCAGGTGACATCAAGGGAGTGTGGCATCCTAAAGATCTCTCCAGGAGGGCTATCTTAATATTGCAGTATATCTTGATGGCATTAAGGCGAGATTAATATGTTTTCGGTAAGGGTATTCACTCCTTACTTTAATTAGAAGTGTACACTGGTTTGACACTTGTTTTTGGCACCGTGAGTGGTTCACCAACATGTTTTACACACCCATTTACTTTTCACTTAAGAGGGGTCATGTGTTTGTTACACAGTGCAGTGAATTCCCACATTGTTTTATGAAGAATTTATTTAATAAAGTTAATGCACTATGTATGATTTCTTTCTTTTTGAGGTGACACTGGTCGTGAAAGCCTTTGGGAGGCTCTGATATTTGGACAATTTTGTGATAATCACCTTTTTGACGTTTTTGAAAGAAACTTGTGAGGTTTATATTTTTTTCTGGACTTTAATTCATCTTTTTGGACTTCAATAATTTTTTGGGGGATTTTATTATTTATATATTTTTCATATAGTGGGGTGACATTTGTTTAAGTGGCATATTTATAATTTAGTAACAGTTACATCTTCAAGGGTGAAGGTGGAACATATGCTATAAGGGGTTAATTCTATTTATTTTATTTTGGAGTGGTATTGCAATTATTAAGGCTCACTGAGAAGACTGGGTTTCTTCCTCCTGAATGCTGTCACACTTCTGAAATGGGGGTTTAACAAGTATCTAGCCTTGATGGTTTGAAACATAGCATATATTCCTCTCTTGAAATACTGTTTAAAAAAAAAAAAAGCCATATTCAGGAAATCCATCTTGACAGATGCTTTGCAGCCAACAGTCCAGTGCATGCATGTAGACAAGAAGGGGTATAATAAAAAGCTGAAGGAGATCAGCAGTACTGAGTTGCAAAAAAAAAAAGCAAAAACAATTATTACAAATAAAAATAGCAGTTGTTGGTGCATAGTGATAAAATATTATGTTCAGTAGTGTAGCAGTTAGCTTAAAATGAGTTGTAAAAAAGACTAATTTGTGTAGGATTTACTTGTTTGAAGTATTGAATCATCAAGGCTAAGCAGCTGCTCACTTCTTGATATGGTAATGTTCAAGGTGTTGCTTCTAATTGTCATTAAACTGACAAAAGTAATATAAAAAAAGGAGACCAGGACCTAATTGTTTTGACAAAGCACTGTGACACTGAGCACAAGGGTGTTGCTGGCTTAACAGGGGCTGATATCTTATTCAGTATCAGAATCCTTGTTTTGTGCAGAATAGACGCGATCTTGGGGTGGGTTCATGTTTGATTTAAACTTGCCTAAAGCTGAATTACATATCTGTTGCATGACGCATCATAAAGTAACGGTGATTCATAAGATACAGGGTCGGGCTTCCTCTACCTTTCAGCTAAGTACTCAATGAATCACTCTAATCATTTCATGGCATTAAAAGATTTCCAGACCTGAACTTTTTATTTCCCTTGAAGGTCACACCAGTGGGTTATTAGGAGGCAAAAGTGTGAGTTTGAGCATTTTAGTGGTTTTGATGAAGAAAAAATGTTTTCTCTCCAAGCCACATAAAGACTGAAGGTCTCCAGTAGACCACAGTGTTGAAGCCTGTAAAGCTAATGTCCTGTAATGTCTACATGTAGAAATATGGAAAGTTTTTAGTCAAAAGTCGTAAAAAAAAAAAAAATAATTGTATAAAGTGTAGTAATAATACATTAAATTGTGAGACTTTGCTACTTTCTGTTAATAGTATTGATTATATTTCCTATTTTATTAGCATTTTAATATATAGATACATGTGTCTAACTTTTTTTTTTTGCACTTCCATTCTTTTAGTGGTCACATTACTGGTTTTATCCCATCTGTTGGCCACAGTCATTATGGCATTGTTTCTGCTAGGCTAAAGGATGTAATAAAGCTCTCACTCCCAAATTGGAAATGATTCATTTTATTAGTGATTGGAACTTAAAAAAAAGTTTTCAATTTACAGCCAAATACTGTGGTAATGGCCAAGGCAGGGTTAGTTAGAACTCTTGACTCTTACCATTAGAGTACCATCGCTACAAACATTGGGCAGCACAGTGGTTACATGGTTAGCACTTCCACCTGGCAGTACTAAGGTCGTTGGTTCGAATCCCAGCCATGGCACCACCTGCCTGGAGTTTGCATGTTCTCCCTGTGCCTGCGTGGTTTCCTCCGGATGCTCCAGTTTTCCTCCCGATGCTCCAGTTTCCTCCCACACTCCAAAGACATGCTGGTAGTTTAATTGGATCCTGTCTAAATTGGCCCTAATATGTGTATGAATGTAAGTTAGGGACCTTAGATTGTACACCCCTTGAGGGTTAGAGACTGACGTGAATGTACAATATATATGTGTAAAGCGCTGCGTAAATTCACAGCGCTCTATAAGTGCCTGAAATAAATAAATAAAATAAAAATAAATGTGCTTTAACAACTTAGCCCTGGTTCACACTAGATCCAACTTTGAAATCGTGTGACTTCATGTGTGATTTGGATGACTTCATGCGCAGATGTCTATGCAAGTTGCACCTGAAATCCCTAAAAATAGCGCAGAAACCTTTTTCTCAAATCGGTGCGGCACTGCAGTTGGAGTCTATTTGAACAGTCTCATTGCCAAAAATAGGGTGTGACTTGTCATGCGATTTGAGCGTTTCAAATCGCATGACAAGTGGAACCAATGTGAACCAGGGCTAAGAGTGTTTACGAGTTCTCTACTGGTCTGCCTCCAGTAGAGTAGATTCCTTTTGCTTGCAGAGGGTATTGCACTTTTTACTTAGTACCTTGTTTGAAGCTGAGCTCCAGGCAGATCTAAAGTATGCACATTAGGGCATCTCTATATACATGCGTACATTAATAAATGTTTTTTTAAAACAGAAGTAGAGTTCTATATTAATTTGATAATGGTATTAGCCTTTTGTAGGTTTTTCTTTCACTCAGCTGTGTTGCAATACTCATGTGCTAACAAGGGACATACGTATAGGAGGAGGGAGCATAGTAAGAAAGATGAGCTCACCAGTGGGCTGCTTTCCAGTTGCCTGCCAGGCAGGGTTATGCTGTGTAAATCTCAGAATTGTATCAATAGAAATACAAATCCTTTGTCAGGTAAAACGGCTCCCTTCTATGTATTTCATCTGTGTATTTAGATGTGTTTCTGGAGTTCAGATGTCAGTTAGCACATTAGTTGCACAATTAACACCTATGGCAAAAGTTATGTAGATGTGAATAAAAACTGATTTTGTTTTCTTTTAGGCTCGTGACAAAGCCTTTATATTTCCTGCACATTGCTGTGCACAAGATGAGACAAGTAATCCTGGCCTTAGTATGCGCGGATCCGTCGCACTGATCGATCAGGGCCTGAAAATGTCTGTGTGCAACGAGTTTGTGGAACACATCTGGAAACCTGGATCATGCAAGAACTGCTTTCATCCAAAAAGTGACCATCGAAAGCCTCAGGCATCCTCAGATGGAAAGACCAGCAATTTGCCAGCCTTGCCAAGTCTTAATGGAATTAGGACCAAGTCGGAGAACAACAACCAAGATGATGACATTATAACTGCTGCTCTTTATTCAAAACCCACCATAGCAGTAAAACCTACTATGATTACTTCAGATACTGCAGAGGAGTGGGCCCAAATGAACAGCACAGAGACTCTAACTCAGGTATACATTCATGTGATGGAGGAGGGTGCCCTTGGCATTTTACTTCTCATGTTTCTTTATCTTGTAACTGCACATAGTGGTGTCCACTAGAATTGGTGAATAATGTTAATGATCCTTGCTGTGTGCTTGAATCCATATGAATGTATATGAGCTACATTGACTATATTGAGAAAGTGTTACCATGAAGGTTGCCAGCAGTCTCCGGGTTACGAACGCAATAGGGTTAATAGGTTTGTTCTTAAGTTGAATTTGTATGTAAGGTGGAACAGGTACATTTTTTTTTTTTTTTTTTCTTTTTTTTTTTTTTTTTTTTTTAAGTGTATCTCCTAAAAAAAAAAAAAAAAAAAAAAAAAAAATAATAAGTTATTTGGTTAGCATAGGGAAGGGTTAACATCACTGTGATGTTTATGTTGCTGTCTGTGCCCGTTTAGAAGATTTTACCTCACTTTCTGTCCCTGTGACAATTGGATTTTTGAAAATTTTGGGTTGTCCTGGAAACGAAGATTGGTGTGATAAACCTTCAGTGGCGATACCTTTTCCCCATGGCAATTCTTACAGGAGTGAATTTCCCTTCCCAGGGATATATTTCCTCTCACTTCTTGTTTCTCCCTCCGTTCATAAGTACACGTCATTCATAACTCGAATGTTCGTAACTCGGAAACTGCCTGTATAGTGTGAAGAAATAAAAGGAATCAAAAGTCTTCACTGAACCAGTACGTAGCACAGTAAAGCCTTCTTAAAGCAGAAGGTATTCATGCTTCATTCAATCACATATCCCAAAACACACTTCAGGCTTATTGGTTTATTTTATCCCTTCTCAGTATAACCTGTGTTGCTATAAAGTTTCATTGGGTCCCAAGCCCTACTCTATAGAAGCCATTGTTTTTATACACTGCACTGATGAAGGCCAAAAAGACGTAAACTGCTGTATGCAATTAGGAATAAATGTCTTTATAATATTAGGCTCTGTACAGTAATTACCGGTTCTTTAATGTACAGTTGGTCACGGAGTCAAAAAGGAATAATTTGCATGGTTCTGCTCATTATCCTAAAATCTGAAATTTATTTTGGGGATTTTGACAGAATAGGACAAATAGACTAGATGGTTAATAGTGAATGGCAAATTTTACTAAATTGATAATCATGTTTAATGCACATGTTACGGAAGAGGGTAGATAAAGGTAAAAACATTAGGCTCATGAAATAAAAATATTAAATCTGTGAAATTTTAAAGATTAATACCTGTTACATAAATTCACAAATTTTGACATATTATTCAGTATCATATATCAAAAATATGTATTGATGTATGCTTTTTTTTTTTTTTTTTTTTTTTTTACCCTAGGTGAGTTGGAAAGTGTCTTCAACAGGCAATTCAATTTTGAAATCGGGGGATATCTCAAAAGTTATTTTGGATAACTTTGGCAAGCCTTTTAACCACAATTATGGTTCTCCCAGTGATCCATCAAAATATGTTTTCAATGGACTGACAAGTCCTGATAAAAAGATAGAAATAAATGCTGTGCACAATTTGACATACGTGAGCCACTTTGGTGGTCAAGTTGACAAAGCTGTATTTCTGAAGGAAAAGGCACCACCTTCTCAACAGGAACTCGCCCAGATTTCGAGAGAAAGCAGTAATGGAAATATTGGAAAACTGAAGTGCTTTCAAGAAGAATCGGCTATGCTTTCTTCAAAAACTGCCAGTGGTTACAGCTGTGGAATGGACAGGCCATCAACAAATGGAATTATTTCCAGAGGCAATGCAGCTTGTGAAACTTCTGTCAGAGTTGCTGCAGGATTGTGCAACCAAACAAGGCCTGGGAACGATGGCAGAAACTACCATACCTCAGATCTGGGATCTAGTAAGAGCACGTATTTTAGCAGAATGAAAGTATCATTGCAATCTGAGTCAGACAAGCAGCCAGAGACACTGTCATGCATCAGTCCCCTTACATCACCAACATTTGCTGATTCCCAGACTTCTGAGTTTCACTCACCTACAGTACCTGCAGATGACAAAGACAATGAACCAATATATGCTGAGAGCACTAAAAGAAAAGCTGTTTCAGATAAAGCTGTAACAAAAAGTGTAGGACAGACAGAGAAAACTGGTTACAAACAAGAGGAGCATGCCAACAAGGATCAGCGCTTAGTAAGCAATGACCGAGTGCTTCAAGAGTCGGTGACACATGTGGCTGCCAGGATAACGGTCATGGCTGCCCACACAGAAGAAGACAACCGAACAATCTATTTGAGCAGTCCAGACTCTGCGGTTGGAGTTGAATGGGCATGCAGTAGTCCATCATCTGTCGAGAACCTGAGTCTGTCACCTACATTTGTTTGGGGTGAAAGAAGCCAGGCAAAATCTGACGAGACCAGAAAATACCACTCTTCCTTATCTCAGAAATACCAGGTCAGCACCAGCTTCACTGTACCATCCAAATCCAACAAACCTGATGAACTTAATTTTCCCAGAGGGTCCTCCCCAACACACATGCCTGGGATCTTATCTTCTGTTTCTCATAAAAAGGAATCTTTGGAGATGAATGACAGGTGCTTAGTGAGTGGAGAACGCAGGCAAAGGTACCTCCCGACAACATGGAGCCAACAGTGCAGGATTGATGAGGAAGAGGAGGAGGAGACATCAACTGGTATGCTACAGTCAAGGACAAGTGCTTTAAGCAGTGCACAGCTTGTTGCAGCCAGTGCTGTTAATAATGATGAACGTGAGACCTTGCATGACCTGAAGGGTCAAAAAGGCATGAGTAAATCTGCTTCCTGTCCTGTAGAACTTTCAAAAGTAAATGGTGAAGCTGAAGGCTCCAATCAGCCCCCACCCCCTCCACCCAAAAAACAGCCGAGGTAAGTGATACTAACTTGTTGGGTCTCTTTTTTTTCTTTTTTAATATATAAGAAAATCTTAGTTTAAATTTATTTAGCTGTATGATTTAGGTTTCCATTAGTCTTTTCAAATGAAACGTTTACTTTTAAATATGAAATTTTCTGGATAGATTTCAGGAATGCAAGGTCTTTTTAGCACATCTCTGTGTATTGCTCATTGTAATTTATACCTATGTCGCTGGTAAGGATACATTGGTAGTCATGGGGCCAAAGAAAGTTGAGTGCAGCAGTAAATAGCTACTTGTTAGCTTTAGAACTACAGGAATGTGGACTATATTAATGTGTTCACTGCTTGTAGCCCCAGGTTATAGGTTGTTTTTTTTCTGTCCTCATTACCAGAGCATACTGGTCTAATGAAAGCTGAAACCGGCATCTAGAAAATTTTTATGCCTGAAGAAACGTATTTGTATACTTTTTTTGTACTTCACAGAAACCAACTCCATCCGTCTAGTTATTTTGGTGTTACCACATGTTAAAGTTATGAATGAGAAAATGAAGTACTAGCTGATCCTATGTACATTGTTTAAATGTTGCCATATCTAGACGATATATTCACACTGGGTAATCTACAGCAGCCTTTTTCAGCCAGGGTGCCATTACACCCTGGGGTGCCTTTTGACCTTTTTTAGGGATGCCTTGGTGAAATGCCCAAAAAAATATTGTCCAGAAATTGTCAACAAGCAGGTGGAGGATCAAGCCTGCCAGCAGATAACGCTACAAGTTTTTATTGTGCAGCAATACAGCCTTGGGCCAAGTGTAAGCCAACTGATGATGAAGTCCGAACAATCAATGACACCATGGGGGGGGGAGTTGTACTAAAACTGGTACACTCAGAATCTGGTGCAGCTGCGCATGGTAGTCAATCGGCTTTTAACTTCACCTTGTTCAATCAAGCCTTTACAATAAAACCTGGAAGCTGAACGGTTTCTATGCAGAGCTGCACCATGCAGTTTTAGTAAATACCCCCCATATGCTGATGAGGACGTTGGGAGCCTGAAAGCATCCTTGTTTTGCCCCTTTCCCTGTCCCTATCCATTAGCATTGGGGTCACGTTAGCTGAATGAAGGTGAGAAACTTAGGGAGAGTAGAGGCACTGGAATACCAGTCAGTTCCAAATTACAAAGATATTTTGCTTTGTAAAAATGAATCGCCTTTCATGTTTGGTGTCCTATGTGTCTAGATGCTGCCATTATATGTAAAACTATTTTGGTTATTTTTTTTTTTTACATTTTAGAATAGGATGCCTCAAGATTAAAGTTGACTGAAAGAAAGTTGAGAAACACGGATATACAGTATATCCTCTTTGCAAATATTGCACATAGATTAAAGTGTAAGGCAAAATTTTTCATTTTTGGATAGAGTAAGGGAGAGTTAGTTTGCTGATGTCAACCCAAAATTGTAGGATTATCTTTTACTTTTCTCTTTGATGATAATGGTAAACAGGGCAAACAGAGAAAGTGAATTTCCTTAATGGGGGCACAGACCGCAATATTACATGACAGGTGTTCTAATCCCTCTGCACACTATCCAAAACGAAAAAAAAACCCCCCAAAAAAGTTTTGCCTTTAGTTCCGCACGACAATTTTACTTAGGAATAACTCACTTAAATCTGTCCAAAAAAGAGTCTAGTAAACATCCCGGGTATGATAAAGTTTGAAACACAAAATCATAAATTATAATATAATAAATAATTATCAAAAATAATATAATAAATTTAGTTCAATAATGTAATCAACCCAAAAACACTGAAATTTGAAATAGAGCACCAAGTTTACACATCACCGAGCTCAGTCGCAGTATCGTTGGTGTCGTCACTTTGTGTCTGATGACGAATTTCCCCACGAATCACCATCGCTCAATTCTGCAAGTGATTCTATTCATTATCTCTGTTTTCTAGCTGGTCTAAAACCACTTTTGACCTAAAGGGACGCTTTTTGGATGGCATGGACAGTCTCAGGTTTCCAGGCAGAAGGAACAGTAACAGTGCAGGCAGGATACAGGACAAAGGCACTAGAGACAAAATTTCGGTGAAATGGTTTGATACAGTAATGTAATCCTAACAGATTACAATGTATTGTGTGTATGTCATGTTTTTACTTTTTTTAATCTTCCGCCGGTTCCGCCCCTCTGCGTACCGGCGCTCTCAGAGAATGGAACTTGTAAGACGGATGCCGGCATCAGAGGGATGGGATCACAGGACAGGATCGGGAGGATCGCAGGAGAAGCACTACAGTTTAATCCCGAGTGTGGCTTGGATTTACCACTTTTGGTACTGTAAATTAACCCCAAGCCACACTCGGGAATACCGCTAGGGAGGTTAATAAGTAGTAAAGCATGTCCCTGATCAGGTCTAAAGCAGGTTGAATGAAAATCACTGACTTGATTCCACCCTCCACACAATTTTTAATGTTAAGAAGGGAATCCTAACACTGTGGCATTGGAAACCTGCTGTCAGAATACACAGATCAGTGCTGCAGTCTATAGTCTGAAGAGCTAATTGAGTTAGAATATACCAACAGGGTGGTGGAACAGAAGTTGATCAGTTTTTTTTGTGTTTAAAATCAATTTTCTTTCATATTGCTATTCTTTGGCCAAACAAAAACCAGAAAAAACGCACCAAAAATGTGACACAGAAGACCTTTGATTATGTAACAGCACAAGTGTGCACCTAGTCTTAATTGTGAGCCTGTTTGGACATCAGTAACAAGTGCTAAAAAAAAAATGTGTCCCAGATGTTTGTAATACTACTGCAGCAGTTTGACCAGGAATGTAGGCATAGAGGACCTATTAAAACGGAGGCCTGATTTTTACTAGATAGGCGCCTGATTCTGTGGGCAACTTGACAGACTGATCCCCCACAGTGTTTACCCTTTGTTGGGATGCTGAGTGCACACTATTGTTATTGGCCGATTTATTTATTTATTTTATTATTAAAGGTACTTCTATAGTGCTGTCAATTTGCGCAGTCCCTAACCCTCAAGGGGCGTACAATCGAAGGTCCCTAACTCACAATTCATACTAGGGCCAATTTAGACAGGATCTAATTACCTACCAGCATGTCTTTTGTCTTTGGAGTGTGGGAGGAAACCGGAGTACTGGGGGAAACCCACACGCACAGGGAGAACATGCAAACTCCACGCAGGTGTTGCCGTGGTTGGGATTCAAACCAATGACCCTAGAACTTCCAGGTGGACGTGCCAACCATTTAGCCACTGTGATTTACTAGGAGATAGTCAGTCAGTTTTGTGTGGTAAAACCTACAGGAATAGAATTTTCACTGGTGCATTTAGCTTGGGTAAACTCTCTTGAAATGTTTAAAGCTGATGTTTAGGCATGATGTTTTTTGCACAGGTCCATCTTGTAGATATGCAAGTATGCATACCTGAGCGTTCTCTGTGGAATCTGCAAATCACTGTAATAGTAGCAGCTACTAGAGGGATAGCAGTGATCTTCTGGGTCCAGTGTTGCCATAAGCTGAATGCCCCA